GCAATGTGGAACATGCCCCATCCTTGGAGACATTCAAGGCCAGGCTGGATGTGATTCTGGGCAACCTGACCTAGTTGAAGATGTCCCTGCTAATTGCAGGGGGGGTGGACTAGATGACCTTTGGCAGGTCCCTTCCAACTCAAACTATTCTTTGATTCTATTCTTCTGCTGTTCACTTCATATTTGTTCAGCATACAAGAGAAAGATACCAGTATACAAGACTGTCATTATAAATCAGCATATTTTTTTAGAACCATGAAATGTATCCCATTAAAAGCAGTAGTTCCATGATCAGCAAACTAATGAAGCCTGGTTTCTACCCGAGTGGTAGCTACTGTCCTGCACCCTTATCAGAGTAACTACAGCTTGTTACTATCCCCTTATAAGCTTGTGCCAAAAAAACTCCAATCCCACTCACATTTCCACATCCCCCCACAAATTCCTCACCCTCCTCCCCTGCCCCTCAACTAATGTCTTCCATGTTCCCTAACCTCACCAGCACACAGCACTGTATGCTCCCTCCCATGCTTTCTCCCACTTACCTTCAGGACAAGAGACCCAACCTGCTGTGGCTGGCTCAAGCAGCAAGCACTGATGCGCTACCCAGTATGCACATGCCAATTTGTTAGTTAAGCAAAATAGAAGGCAACTGTTAAACTCATCTTGCACCTTCTTCCCCTGCAAAGAAAAGGTACGCACTTATTTTGATTTCCTCTCTTCTACCCAGAGACTCATCTTTGTGGAACTTTAAAGAGTTCTTAAAGAAACTTTGAGATGTCTATGCCACTGCCAAATTTGGCTGAAATCTACTAAAGTTGTGAAAATAGAATTGATAGAGTGATTACACAAGCTTTCTTTCCTCTGGAAAGTGGGCTAAAAGCCCATTAACAGTCTTACTTATGTCATCCCTTCATTCCCATTCTTCATTTAAAAATAACGATTCTATTCTACTGCATTAGCTTATGTAACCCACCCCTGAGCCAAACTAGTTGAAAATGTTGGTCTGTGTTTATTAAGTGTGTGTGCCTCTCTATGTTTGCCCATTTTAAGGTGCTTGGTATTATGAAAAATAATGGTGAGATCATCAGTGAAACCAAATAAGCTTCACTAACAGCTATCCCCCAAAGTTTCTGGACTGGTATCACTGCAAGCAAGAACTGAACTGCTTTTTCTCTAGCAAGCTGTCAGCTGTTCTCATGGTTACAGATCTAGGAATTTGGAATGACAGGTCACAGCTATGAGAACGAGTAGATTTATTTGGCATGTTTCTATCTAGTAAATAACATTCTCCTATGCAGAGGACAAGAGGCTGCTGTACATTCTCATAGTGTTTATTCTCTGTGAAAACCATGTTTTAAAGTCTCTGTCCCAACAAAGAAGGTGCTAACCAGACTTATTTCTTAAAATTGCTCACTCACAGAATGAAGACAAAAATATAGAACTCTTGCACTCTCTCTATTACTATAAATGGACCACTGGCACTTTCACTGCAAGATTCAACTGTGTATATACACTTCCCAGATGGCGTGAAGCAAGGGTAGAAAAGCATGCTTCCCATTTAAATGCAAAGGAAGACAAGGGAGTGTTAACTGCTGTCATAGGGTAAAATCTATTCTGTCATTTGGCTATTAAAAAAATAAAAAAAAATAAAAAAAATCAACCATTTATTTTTGATGAACTGCCAAGTTTTTGTGAAGCTCCAGCTATGGCGCTATGCAGAGATATTAGCACAGCTATGTGAAATTGGTTTTCGCAGAGCCACAAGTTCAGCTTAACAGGACAGCAGCAGAACAGGCTTCTCCCACACTTGCAACTCTTCCTTGCTGGAGGGGTCTTCCTCCAGGAAGCCAGGGCAGTCCAGTTGCCAAAGCCTCCGTTAATCACTGCAAAATGAAATGCAGAACTTGTGCTGAGGAACTGGAACATCACCCACTGAGCTTCTTTCAAAGGTGGGTCTGCCTAGATGGGAACAGCGCTTTGTCCATGCTGAGCCAGGTTGGGACTCCTCTTATGACTCATCAGTCATAAGTCCCAAGGTATTCATTCCCCCAGTAGGGGCCCTTCTACTCCAGGGACATGCCCACATACTGCTCTCAATATGAAACAAAAATGTAATGTTGTCATGATGTGCCAATTCATCCAACTCAAAATGCTCTGTGAAACGCTTAGCTGAATCACTCCTCCTCTTGGAGAGCTCTGTTTGCCTAGGGAGCTGCCAGGGAGAACCATCCTCCATAGGGCACAGCTGGAGACAGCGCTCCCAGGCTTACCATCCCAGGATTTAAGGCCTGGCAACTCCAGGGCAGCAAGCCCTGTACACAGAGGAAGGGCTCCATTGTTTCACAAGGGCCCACACAGTTAGCTTGAGAACACACAATATTTCAAAGACCCAACTGGTTATTGATTTCCAGGTTAAGAGAAGAGAGGCCTCCAGCACAGAAGCCTGGGAGGACCTTCTTCAACTTAGGTCTCAAGTTCCCAAGCCTGCAGATGGAAGCCTTGAAGCCCTGATAACAGGAACATTATCAGAATTTCTACTCCTGCAGTTGAAGACCTGGGCAAGTTTCCAAGGCACTGGTAGGCTTGACAGTCCAGCAGTGCTCTGAGCACTGGTCTGATCTTAGCCATGAGGTGCCAGGCTCCAAATTAATTTCTAACATTTCCAAAGCAAATGTCTAAGGAAATTCCAATACAAGAGAAATTTTAAAATGTCACAATTTCCCATGGATTAGGTAATGGCAAGTTTGGCCCACCTCTGGCTTCAGTTTCCTTCAGAAAAGTCTTCATCCTATGTGTTCCACTAGGAGAACAAGCCCTCATCTATTAAAATACATACACTAAAAAGAATAAATATGAACAAAACTTGCCTCTAAACAGAATCTTCAAAACATAAACCCGTTCCTCAGGTTATCATGAGATTTCTAGTTATTTTCACATTTATGTGCCTGCCTTGAACCTGAAGGCTTCTGTTCTAAAACATGCTTACTCATGCGGCCTCAACATTAATTAGTAGAATGGACACATTCTGTAAAGTTCAACCCATGCAGGTACAAAACACAGGCCCCTACTTTAGTGAAGCAGTAAGCACGTAACACACCAAGGAAACAGTGTCTGTAAAGCCTGAATGGCTGAGCACAGGGATGGCTAGTATCACAGCATTGCCTGGTACCAAAAGGCATCAAACACAAGGACAATCCTGTCCTGGTCACCTCCAGGTACCAGCAAGCACACACAGTGCAGCCACCTAAGATGAAGGGCAGTATGCCTGACCACAGGAAAACTGAAGATTCCCAGGATATGACCTCTCAGTGGGTAATGCACCAAGGGAAGGAGGATGAGCTACATAAGCATGCATTAAGCAGATTAAAGATTTGTCCCATTTAATTTATTAAGCAATGTCATGAAGTTGTTGATAACTTCGCTCTGCTGTTTTAGAGTCCTAGGCACCAGTCCCAGCTCTGGTCTGCCAACTTGCCACAGAGTAATGAGATAAAGAACAGTCAGAATACAGGCTCCTGGTGGGCAGTTTGCCCCAACTTCCCCTACACTGCAGGCATGGAAAAGTAACTTGGCTTTTAAAAACACAAAGAATCTACCATTTGAGTTAATACTTACTTTACCAAGGACACATTAAAAAATCCTGCACTAAACTTGGGAAACCTGTAAAAACTTTCCCAAACAGTGGAGTCTCATAATACTATTACAGCTCTCCATTTCCCACACACCTAAAATGCTGAATGTCCTATTCATTAAACAGCTATTTTTAGTTTACTATAAATCATTGTTCTTTACTTTTACAACTTCCTTTTCTTGTAATTAAAAGGTGCCCAAAGCCTTTTCTGACTTTACAGTGTCTAGAAACTTCATGTAATTTAAAAGTACCACTCACATCCACTTATGCTTCAGATACATGTGCATCATTCCCTGTCACTCTACAGGGAAAGATAGAGCTCCAATGAATGATTTAGGACTCAATATTGCATATACTTCCAATGACTTCAAAGATGCAGAAGCAAACCTTAAAGGTAGCATGGTTTCTTGCCTGAAGAATTGGTTTTGCTTCTGCCTATATTCACGGACAAGTTAATCAGATGCCACAACGTCATCTCAGAGTTCTCCCTATTGCTAAAGGATTATCACTAAATTCTTGCTCCCTATTAACCACACACACAGCCCACTGCAATAGCAGGGGTACTGAGTCAAAGGACCCTTAGGGTTTTCCATCTTTTATTTTCTTTTCTTCTGCTGCTTTCACAAAATACCCTCTAGCACAACATGTATTTTAGAACAGAAAGCAGAACAACAGTAGTCGTTTCCCCTACGCACCAGATTCTATCTCAGGATCAAAAGTACAAATTAAGTATTATTATTAGCGGTTTCTTGATATGCATTATGACAAAGTACAAAACCTTCTCTTTCTTTCCGTCTTCCAAAACCAGGCCACAAGTTGATGCGAACAAAACTGATGCTGTGCACAACATTTTAGCTCCTGTACTCTTCGTCCTCTACAGTAGTAAACCTACAATTACCATGAGAAAAGTCCAGCTGGAGGTATCACCTACAAGTTGCTTCTTGCTTATACATTATTTCAGAACATACGCTCCGCTTGAAAACAATTCTGTGCCTACGAGCTGGCAGCAGAACAACAATTTAAGTTGAGGTCTCAAAAACGGTAGGAGGGGGAATTTGCAAAAGCAACATATTTCAGCTACTTTTTACCCCAAGAAGCATACCATAAACAGTCAGGCAAATATACATCAAGGATCATGAGAAAGCAACTAACTATATGCCTTTTAAAGTGCACTTCATGGATGAAAGCTGCCAAATTACAGACGGGATTTACTGAGAAGAATGTGTTACTGCCAGAACGGACAAAAGCATGCATTCTACCCATTCCAAGCTCCTCCCCATCTCCTGTCATGCTCACAGCAAGAAGCAGCTCAAAAATTGACAACCACAGACTCCAGGATTGAAAGAGACAAAAAAACCCACCAAAAAACCTGCTGGCAAATGATGGGAAGAATTTTATTTTGGAGATCTGATAAAGGAGACTGGAAAAAAAAAAACACCAAAAACAACAAACAAACCAAAACAAAAGGAAGCAGAAGAAAAGAACCCACTTATGATCCCCGAGTTCTCGGGACATCAAGCAGTTTCACAGCAGGAAGGAAACAGCGCGCACCTGGCCGGGTTTGAGGAGTCAACGTGCAGCAGCGTCTTTCAAACAGGCACAGCAACCGGTACCCGGCACCACGCTGCTGCCGGCCCCAGGACAGGAGTTTCCCGGAGTTCGCGTGGAGTTGGGTCATGGAAACCTCACTCCAAGCGGGAGCACGCAGTGGCAAACCGTCCCCGTCCCCCAAGACTCCCTACCTGGTTGGTGTCCTCGCCGTGCTCCAGGTGCACGATGCCCTGGCTCCTGCACTCCGTGTCGCTCAGCACGTCGTCCTCAGAGTCCTCCAGGAGGGACGAGGAGCCGGTGGAGGACAGCGAGGAGGTGGAAAGCCGTCGGGACTGCAGGTGCAGCGAGCTGTCCGTCCTCAGCCAGCCGCCCTCCGTGTGCGGCGGCTGCGCCTGGGGGCTGCCCTGCGCCTCCTCGCTCTCCTCGGCGGTGACGGTGAGCCGGGGGATGACGGGCGGCAGCACCCCGTTGGGGGGCCGGCAGCCCCTCTTCGCCGGGTCGGGCAGCTGCCGGGCGGCGGCGGCGGCGACAGCGGCGCAGCGAGCCTCGAAGAGGGAGCGGAGCTCCCCGACGCTCAGCCGCTTGGACCGGCTGAGCTCCGGGCTGCTGTGCAACCCCGCGCGGGGCTGCATAGCGCGGTCGGCGCCGGGCGCCTGCGGGGCAGCGCCCCAGGGCCGGCGGCCGGGGGCGTGCATGGGGGAGCGCCGCGTTGCCGCCGACCGCCCGGGAAACTTCTTTGTGGCTCAGCCTCCGGCCGCTGCTCGCAGAACGGCGGCGAGGCTCATCTCCAGCCCGCCCTCCCTGGGCAGCCCCGACTCACCCGCGGCGACAGCCGAAGGCAGCTACCGCGCCCGCTGACCCGGCTCCAGGGCCATAGGGGCACGATCAACCCCCCGACACCTCCCCGCTCCGCCTCGGCGCCGAGGGGAGGAGCGAGCCGCGCCGCGGGGAGCCCCGTCCTGCCTGCCCGCCCCTTCCCCGCCTCCGCCCTTTTGGTTTCGCTTTGCCTGAGGTGCCGCCTCCCGCCTTACCTCAGCGCCCACCGCCCCCGGCCGGGGGTCACAGCTCCCCCGGGGCGGGCATGGCGGCTGCGCGGCGCTCGCGGGCCGGAGGAGCCCATCCCCGCTGAGGGGGAAGCGGGGCGGGTTTGGGCGCCCTCCCGTCAGGCCCCTCAGGGCTCTGTGTGTGCGTGCGTCCCGCTCGTGGTGAGGCTGCGGGGCAGAGCGGCCTCCCGCAAAGCCCGGGCTTCCCTCGGCCCGCGCTCCGCTGCCTGAGCCGAGCGGGGTCAGCGCGCCTGAAGCCCCAGGTGCCGAGGTACCCGAGCTGAACGAGTACCGGCAGAGAGCACCCCCACCGCGCCGTTACCCGCTCGGCTCCCGCTCCTCACCCGGAATACAACGCATGCAGGGCTGCACGTGTGGTCACTGTAGCCATTAAAACCAGTGGAATGTTAAAGGCATCCCGCCGCGGGGTTACACCAGCTGAGGTGGTTATTAAAGCTAACAATTCTGGAACCAAACGCCAAAGTGTTCAACTTAGTTTTTGCTCATTTATCTCATTGTTTCCTTGCGCTCTCCCATCTGTCTCTTGCCATCTGTTGTCTTTCTCCTGGTGCTCGGGCTGCGAGCTCCTTGCAGGAGGGGCTGCACTCACCCAGCGCGTAACGCAGCAATGCTCGGGCCGCACTGGGACTCCCTGGTCGTCTGACACCATAAACTATTGCTATTCATTCCGATTATTCGGAATCTAGGGCTAAGATAGTCATAGAGGACTAAGAATTATTCGGCTGCTGCTATTTTGCAGCCCCATCTTGCAAGTTGCCTTTGGAAAAGTCAGTTTGAACAGGCACCTGACGACGTGTCTTTTCCCGTGCCACTCACAGAGCCCCAGAGCAGGCAGGAAGGCAGCTTCAGAAATAAAACGTCATAAATAAAACTTCATAAATAAAAATCCAGACGTTTTTGTGCGCTTTTCTGGAATTAGGTGGTGCCAAGCCGGGAATTTGGACCGTCTGAATTTCCAGATGAAATAGCCAAGGCTTTTGGTTTATTTAGTTCTTTAACCATTGTGGGGGTTGTCCCAAGGAGCTGCCAAGGGGTACGTGGTGGGATGACAGCTACCAGCAAAGTGTGTAAAAACACTGGTGGTAAAGTGCAGAAGAAAATGGTTGGCAGAAAAGCTTTTCACCAACAGAGAGAGAGAAGTGCCTGTAGGAGGGTATTCCTTCATGGTGGACCATAATGGGTTGAAGTTTTTTCTGGAAGAAGATAAAGAGTCACCACTTTGAGAATGAACTTTATAAATAGTTTCAAATTTTATAGTGCAGAAAGGCAGCCTCAAAACATGAAAACTGACTAGGCCCAATACATACCTAAAGTCATAAGAGTTTAATATACAGCATGATTTTATAATTGATGGTTTTATAAGAGGTCTCACGGCAGTGAATACATATTTAGAGTGGAAAACACAGAGGCCAGTTTTAAATGGCTATCCAAGATTACGCACACAGAGGTTGGACCCATTTAACTTACGTAGCTGTGGCAGCTTCCAGCTGTAGGTAAGCAAGGCAGAAAAGCATTTGCACACAGGAGAGAGGTTCAGTGGGATCTGTCACAGGCCAGACAGGAACCTCTTCCAAATGCCTGCTGCATGTGGAAGGACATTTCGGTTTCCAGCCTCTGTCAGCTGTTGCTTTCTCTGCTGACTCTGCAGTTACAGGTTTATGTGTGGTCTGTGATTAGGAAGCCTTATTTAAAAGGTTTGCTGATTCAGGAAACCTTAACCTTAACAACAGGATCAACAATTCACTCCATATAGGGCTAAGATTAGTTAATAGTTAGGTCATAAAATATAATTTTAAAGGTTTTACTTTCAGTTAATGAGGATAGAAGCAAAATATATGCAAACATTTAATTTTAATTAATTAATGCATGTATAAAAATAGAAAAGTGTCCTTTTAATAATGCTGATAAATGGTGATTGGTGATTGAATCTTACCTGGTTGGATAAGATTAGATGGGTTTTATTGGCTGCTTTTATAGCATGTCAGCTTTAGAGGGCTACTGATAGCTGAATTTTGTGTAAGATTTAGCTCAAAGTCTTTCAACACTACCAGGAGAATAAAGAGATTCTTCAGTCAGTTGGGTATCACCACGTTTGTGTGGAAGTGTACAACTGTTTTTAACAGGAGGAGTGGTGCTCTCGCTTCTGGCAAAGTGGCAATGACTCCTACTTTCCACTTGTGAAATCCTGTATTCCTGTCAGCAAAGGGCTATCAGCATCCATTAATGATGTTTGGCAGGAGCTAGATCTGATAACAGATATGTGTGTCCCTGTTTTACAGCTAGGTAAACTGATGTACAGGCAGTACATGAGCTGACTACAGTCATATAGAGAATCAAGGGCAGAAACGGGTGCTTCAGATTTGCTCTGCTACTGTAACCACCAGATCACATTCCCACCTCTAGGGGTAAAGAGTTTTGTTTATCGCAGTCATTCTGATTCATATTGGTATTGCTTCTGGCCACTGGGGCTCCTTGTTTCACGCAATCCTGCTACAGAATAAACTTTTGGCCTTTATTTCTTCATTGGGGACTGTAGTGATAGGACATGGGGCAATGGGTTCAAACTGAAACAGGGGAGATTTAGGTTAGATATAAGGAAGAAATTCTTCACTGTGAGAGTGCTGAGGCACTGGAACAGGCTGCTGAAGGAAACTGTGAATAGTCCATCCTTATCAGCATTCAAGGCCAGGCTGGATGGGGCTTTGAGCAATGTAGTTTAGTGTGAGGTGTCCCTGCCCATGGCAGGGGGTTGGAACTAGATGATCTTTAAGGTCCTTTCCAACCTAAGCCATTCTATGATTCCCATGATACCCCTTTATAAACAGTGTTATCATTAATCTATTGCTTATTCTTACTTCCTTTTAGTTTGCGTTCTCGTAGAGTGCATGAGCCTCGACAGTACAGAGGTAAAGATGCTAGGGGCACTTGCAAAAGATTAGAAAACTTTCACATAGACAATGGTTTAAATATGATGCAGAGGGGAGTCTTGGGCTTACCTTGGCCTACTCTGTACATACAAAAAACTGCCCACATGCGACTTCTCAGAGGGCTCTGAGCGTGACAGCTGGGAAACACCATGTCCTTCAATTCCTACCTGAGCATGACCTGAAATGTCATCAAGAGCTGTGATTCCCATGTCTCTCCTGGATACAACAGATGAAAGCAAGACAACGTTTATAAGTATTTATCTCTTTCAGGATACAATTGGGGGAGAAAAAAAAAAGATGGATACGTTTTCATTTAGGAAGGCCCTGTTTCAGAACTCAAAGGTACGTGGGCATGGAAGCTGGTCGCTTCTACGGGAAGATCCCACCTCTCCCACGGGCTTTTTCTTCGTGACTAAGGCTGAGGTTCCCTCCAGTGGCTGACGTGCAGATGACAGCTCCACGTGGAAAGCGAAAAAGACGGGCTGGCCTTCCGTCGGGAGCAGCGCTGCGAGCGACCATGGCCCCTGCCCAGAGGGGTGGGAGCAGAGCAGTTGCGGACTGGCCAGTCTGGTGTAGTTGGCAGCCTAGAGCGGCGGTGAGGGAGGGGATCCCGGCTTCAGTTGCTGTCTCTCTGCTACACACTCCATTGAGTGAGCAAGTCAGTGCATGTTATAGTCCTCTACGAACATAGCCAGATTAAATTATCCAAGTACACATGCAAGAAGAGAATGAGCCCTCGGCAACATTATCTGATGTGCAAGCACTTGCTTCAATAAATGGCAGGTCTTTATTTGTCAGATTAGTTTTTGTAGGCTATTTGCCACATTTCTCTGTGCAAGACTTGGAGTCTTTTTGGAAAGAACTCTAGACATCTGCTCAATGAATGCCATATGAAAAAAAAAAGAATTAGGAATCTGCTTTTACCTAAGAAGCAGCAAAGCTGTAACTCAGGCAGCAAATGTTAAAATCATACTGTGGCTGGGTTATTAAGATGTGCGGGGACACAAGCAATGCTTCAGCTTCAGCTGAACAGCTTCAGCTGTCCCCTACCCTGGATCTCTGGCCAAGAATCTGGATTGGCACATGCAGAAATTACCTCTTCCATTCCTCAGCCCTGCTGTCAGTTTAACTGCTAGTACCCCATGGTATCACCCCTAAGCAACCCAGAGGCTATGGAACATTGGTGACATGGAAAGGGAAATCCAAAGCTGCTGGGCAAACACAGGAAAGATGGTGTTGGATTTAAGCAGTGGAATAAAGTTGGATGTAGATTCCAAGGATATGACAACTGATTTAGCAGGGAATACTGGGATTTGAGCACATCCTCAGCTAGGACGGAGATGTAGTACATTGGTGGAAGTGAACAAGGCTGTATAGATCTCGATGTGTGGATCACGGGAACCTGCAGAAAAGAGACAATGAACTGTGAAGGTCCCCTCGTGGCTGGAATTAAAATTACGTTTCCAAGTCAAACGCCTGAACAAAAGTACCTCGAACTGTTCCTCTACCTTACATAGGCAGATGCAAGATGGGGGGGTTAGTGGGGAAGGAAACATGTCCCCTTGGAAAAGGGGTTGCAAGTGTTTGAGATCATAAAGTGACAGCCATGACAGTGAGAAGATACACAAGGATAAGGCCAGGGGGAAGGAAGGAGTGTACCCAGCACCCTGCTGCCTAAATGACTCACAGTGGACTGCTGACATACAGAGTGTAGAGTTACTCTAAAGGGAAAGGTAGAGAAGTAAGAGCTACACAGGAGGTGAAGAGAGGGAAGGTTGCAACAGAGCGGAAAACACCTGGAAGAAAAACCACTTTCTCCCACATCTTCCCCATCTCATGCTGCAGACAGTTGCTGTTCTTCCTTATGAAAGGAACAGAAAACGGCCTTTTCTTCCCACTTTCCTCTCAGCCTGTCACTGCTACTTTTCTCCCTCACACTCTTACTGCTGGCCTGGAGGCCAGTATATCCAGGGAACAGAACAAAATCAGGGAGAAGAGGGGGGCCCAGGGGTACTATCCCATGACGAGA